AGCCAAAAAAAAAAAAAAAAAAAAAAAAAAAAAAAAAAAAAAAAAACAGCCAAAAAAAAAAAAACAAATCCAAAAAATCCGAAAAAAAACTATGTTATGCAGACAAATCAACTGAACAACTTTTGCCTCAGGGTCACATCGAATTTCTTTGCCGAATTTAAAATAAACATTTATATTAAAAAATATTTTTTTCTTTTTTCTTTTTTTATTTCTTTTTGGCCCATCCGGGGAAGTGGACCCGGGCCACTCTGGTAACCTACGTAAAGACAGAAAAATTCAGGATAAGGGTCACAAGCCATAAGAAGAGATGTCAAGTAGGTGTTCAACAGGCTAGCTAAACTAGCTAGGGTTTAGGGTGTTAGCATAGGTATAGGGGTTAAACACAATCATAGACATCGGAAACTAGAACGGAGATGGTATAGGGGTATTCAAGACCTAAGGGGAAGGACAAGTCTGCAGTTCCTGTACTCGATGAGAATCAGGCAGTCAAAGATCTGAGAGGAACAGGTGAGACGAGGCCCAACCAAGCAAGTCTACAGGGACCACAACAATAGGTTTGTTTCCATGTATTAGAATAAAAAAACAAAAGAAATCAGGCTAACTTAGGCAGGGGTGAGGGGCGGTACATCCTTCTGGCGAGAAGTAATCAAAGCCGTCCCTCGGACTTCCCTATCCTAAAGGGGAAGAGTGTGTGTAGTCTTACATGTACTTGCTTTTGACTTGCCGCTCCCCAGAATGGAAAAGGAGCCAGAGCCATGAGTTTCTGTTTTTGTTTTTTATTTAATAAAACTTATTAAAAAGAGAATAAAATCCATAACATAAAATAGAGGGTGCATCTACCAATAGAGCCTTGAAGTCTCACGTATGGTTCAGGAGCTAAGCCATAGGATTTCATAATTAACTTCCTTAGGTTTGCAAGCTTTTGAACAACTTGTACCTCCTTGCAAGCTTTTGAAGCACTAGTACCTCCGCCAGTGTTGGGAAAATAGGGAAAAGTGCCCGTTTTCCCAAACTCCTAAACATTCGGAGGCCGGGCCCGACGACTGCTGCCATTGATAAATATGATCGGCGGCCGTCCATTCGTTCCGGGCTCCGGAAAGGCCGGAGGCCCACCCCAGTAGGTTCACATACAACCTGCAGGCTCTTAGAGGTTCTGATCAGCTTCCGCTAGTCTCAGAAGGCCCTGGCAAGTCCCAGTAGGTTTCTCGAGTTCAAAAGTCAGCCCAGAAGAATCACAGACCAGTTGTCCCGGATCATATGCAGTCAAACTGTGACAACAAAACTGCACATTCTATTACATCTGGGCAAAACTGAGCATTCTATTAGATCTAGGCCCGGCTAATCAGTGCAGCGTGCATTGTTTGCGGTGCGACACAACCAGCTATCCGTCCACAAAATGGATGCAGAGAAGTCAGTGAAAGCAACACGAACAGCGAGAGAGAGAGAGAGAGAGAGAGATCTTATACACATCTAGATGTGTATAAGAGACAGCTCTCTCTCTCTCTCTCTCTCTCTC